GTGGAATTGTTTTTCCGGGACAGGAAGGCTGTTAGTAGGCTCAGGGCTATAAATCTGTATTTTTTTCCTCTTTGGACGCATAATTGAATCTTCCAGCAGCCTCCTGGTTGCAAGATTGATGTTGTTTCCAAGCCCCACAAACCATTTGTGTCCATAAATCCCATCACGACTCCAGCCAGCTCGTCTGCGACGGCACCGCGGCCGCCGGGCCTGGCTCTGGCTCTTGGGGTGCCCTGTGGCTCCCTGGGGCACAGGAGGCCCCATCCAGGTGCCAGTGACAGGATTGTTGCTGCTGCCTTTGCTCTTCTCTGAAGGAGTTTCATCCCGAATCCCAAGGGAACTGTCAGGGCTGGGTCGGCTCCTTCCTGCGGCCGTGGCTGCCGACACGGTGCTGGTGTCGAGCAGGGCCTGGCACAGATGCCTGGCTGCTCTGGGAGGGAGCCTCTGGGAGGGATGAAACTCCTCCTGGGCACTTCTCCTTTTCCCTCTGACCCTCCCTCCCTGAAAACGAGGCAGAAATCCGAGTCCAGGCTGGTGGGAATGGTTGGTCGTGATAGAAAAGCCACCCCCGGAAGGATGTGGGTGACCACAGCAGTGTGTGGAGGCCCAGAATGCAGAAGGTGACAGTGAGGACAGAGGTGAGGGGATGACAGAGCTCAGACACTGCTGGGTTTGTGGCCTCGCAGGCCAAGAGGTGGAAGGGGCAAGTTTGGGAATGTCTGTAGGGAAGAAACCCGGCGAGGGAAAGCAGCTGGGGGAGGCTGGGCAGGGTTCTGTCCCTCACTGCAGCTCATTGGAATTCTGGGAGCGTCTGTCCTGGGCAGGCAGCCGTGTGCTGGGTGTCCCAAAGGGTGGCAGCCAGCCTGGCACCAGAGCCAGCCCCCCGTGCCCCGGGGGTGTCCCCTGAGCTGGCACAGCACCGCCAGAGACGTGTCCTGCCAGGAGACTGCCTGGAGCTGGGGGGAATTAGGAAGGATCCAAAGCCATGGGAGAGCGTCCAGGGGCCTAAAAAATGGTGGGGAAGGGTCTGGAGGGGAGACCACGAGGAGGGGCTGAGAGCACTTGGTGTGTTCAGCTGGAGAGGAGGAGACTGAGGGGACACCTGCAGCTTCTTCCCGAGGGGCAGCATGAATCCCTGCTCCCTGTGACCAGGGACAGGACCCAGGGAACGGCTGGAGCTGTGTCAGGGCAGGGTCAGGTGGGATCTCAGGACAAGGTTCCTCCCCAGAGGGTGGTTGGCACCGAACAGGCTCCCCAGGGACCCTGTCACAGTCCTGAGGCTGCCACAGCTCAAGGAGTGTTTGGACAACGCTCTGAGGGACAGGGTGGGATTGTTGGGGTGTCTGTGCAGGGCCAGGAGCTGGACCTGGTGATCCTTGTGGGTCCCTTCCAGCTCAGGATATTCCCTGATTCCATGGTTGTATCAACAAACCTCTGCAGAGCAGCTGCCCCCTCCCTCAAGAAACGGGTCCTTCCAGCTCTTTGAGCTCTGCAGGAGAGGTGGGAACGTGTGTGGCCATGGGGAAAAGCTGCCTTTTGACTGTTATCCCCAGTCTTTGCAGGGAGAGGGGAAAGCTTCCCAAGACATGAGCCTGGAAAAGCTTCCCCGAGGTTCCTCAGGAGCACGGAGGCTCCGGAGCTTCCCCCGCCTCGCTCCGAGCCTCGTGTCTGT